CGATCAATGACCAGCCCCCCTGTGGCCGGGGGCGCGAGGGGCTGGCGGGCGGCCGCCCGCGAGGAAAAGGCAGCCCGATCGCTTCTGCATGACAATTGACGGGAGGGAGGGAGGGCGGGCGCGGGCGAGGAGGGAGGACGGCTGCGGTGTCCGTTTTCTCACCATGGTGATTAGGCATTCTGGCCGTGCGAGGAGGCAGCCGCCGACCGGAGCGGCGCGGCGTGCAGCGAGGACCGGGGGAGCGAGAGCCGGGGCGGGAGCGAGCCCAGCCGCGGGCGGGCGGGCGGGCGGGCGGGCAGAGCGCCGAGCCAAGCCAGGCCAGCTGCTCTGCAGCCATCAGGGACCGCTCCCGTCCAGCCCGGCCCCACTTTAGCTGTGCAAACATTTCTTTATCCCGACAAGACAATTAAACCCAGCAGCATGAAAAGGAGTCTCCACGACTGTGTTGGAAGTGAACAACCAACCACACACATCACAGGAGTTCTTAAAGGGACTCCGGGAGAACCCGGGGAGCAGCTGAGCAGCAAATCAGGCTGGCTAGGTCTGCGCAGCCAGCGGAGGGGGGACCATCTGACCCATCTCGGTCTGGTGATTTGCTGACCCTTTCACAGTGGTCATCTGCTCCAGCTACAATCCAGGAGGTCAGCCTGGTGACCCGAGAACTGCCCCCAAACATTCTTTCCGGCAAGAAGAATTCTCCTAAAAGCCCAAATTAGGGTCCCTGTCCAACCCCGTCCCAGGCCCTTGGGAAGTATCCCCCCTAACAACGCCCCCTAGGATGGAGCTGACCCTCCTCAGTCTGGGCTGCTTGGGGCCTGTGTACCCTCAGCTATTTGAGTCTGAGAACACAGGGTCTTAAATGGCACATGCCTTTATAAGGCACATTTCAAAGTACAAAATACCATTTTCTACTCAGGCCTTTTAGTATCAGAGAACAAAAGTAGGACCTTCTGCAGTTGCTGTGAGCTACCAGTTTCCTACCTACCTTGCGAATCTGCCTAACAGTAGGAGAGGCCAAGGTAGGAGGGTCACGTGCTGTCAGTGCCCATCCCTGAGGTGAGCCAGAAGGTGGGGCCAGTCCTCGCTCCACACGGACAGTTCTGGTCCCTCTCAATCCTCAAAAGCATGCACACAAGCCAAGCTGAGAGGGTTGACTGTCAGGCTGGCCCAAGACTGTGTCACTCAGACAGAAATCCAGGCACAGGGGTGGTCCAAAGGAAATAAGGAAATGAACGTGATAAGAGCCAGGGTACTAAGGGGGGGTAATAAATACAAAGATTCTAGCACAAGGCAGCAGACAATGCGTATCTTCCCTTTGTTGTAAAGTTTCCTTAATGAGGAAATGTTTATTTTAAAAGCCCTGGGAAACATATCTGTAGACACTTCATATGTAAGACACACGTGGGCTATTTGTAATTGGTCCATAAATTTTAGCATCATTTCCCTGGACAAGGAGCCCTGGGAGACTGGTTCAGGGAGTGACAATAAACAGGAGTTACCTCAGTCCCCTTCCCGGGGAATTACGCTTCCTCCACGAACTGAACCGGCTTCTCGCAAAATACTTCTCCCTTTTTCCAGGGCAAATAAGTCAGTCCTGTAGAGTAAAGGCTTCTTTTTTTCCATAGAGCCCAACACCTACCTTGGGAAGCACCTGTGATGCCAAGTAAGATGAACAGGCAAGCAAACAGGAATCATGTACTAGGAGACACAATACTTTACCCAAATAGCTACATTTTTTTTTCCTACAAAAAAAATGGATATTTAATCACAAAAGAAATCCTGCCTACCAGCGCTCAGATGGAAGGAAAGAACGTGTGTACATTACACCATGTCTGCAGGCCCCTCTCTCAAATGCTCTCACATGTGGACATATCTGCATATGGACATAGTGTGTGAATAGGGGGCGGCTGCAACAGTAAAAACTGTCAGTGTTTCCATTGTAAAACTGATTTTTCATTGACCAAAACTCAGTCATAAAACTTCTCTATGTAAGGGACACACACAACCCGGTAACACCACTACCACCACCACCACCACCACCACCACCCCTGCTAAATGCTTATTTAGGAGTTTTACTTGAATTTAATAAAACATTTTTTACACTTCATGAAAAAAAATTGTTTAGATGAAGAGAACTGAAAAATGAATCAACCATATCAGAAATCAACTCTAAATTTTAAGAATAAAAACTAAAATATATACAGTTTCTATTTTATTATATTGGCAGTCTGGGCAAAAGGCGCTTACCCTATTACTTTACTCTTTTGAACACTTTCTATTCTCTCTCCTCCTGCCTTCCCCTCCCCCTCCCTGCCCCATCTGCCCCTCCAGCTCTCCCTTTGGAAGCAGTCTTGTATACTGTCACTCGATTATCTGAGAAATATTACTTATTTCAAAAATGGTTCTGTAGGGAGGGCCTGAAAGGCATCTAGTGGGAATAATCAGGCCTTCTAACGGCCCTTAAGTATGTATTTACATAAAACAGGCCATAAATATTCTGACACACATCAACATATGACAAGAGCCAAGGAAGCTGCTACAGACTTTGTCACGGGGCCTCTTCAACCCTTCCAGGCAGAAAACTGTGTCTCCTGCCTTCCAAACACTCAGAATCAAAAGCACAGATGCTGCGCAGTCCCACCCTGTGACTGCTGCCACCCTGCCCAAGGAAAGGAAAGAGAGGAGCGCAGATCCAGGGTTATCGCTGGCAGTCTCCTCTTCTCTTGGCACCTTTCTTTTTTGCGAAGGATCAGTCCCAAAGGCAACTCCAGATACTCATGTGGGTATACAAACGTCCCACACTCACACGACACCCATAGGCTGAATATTTGTGTAGGAGGGGGGAAAAAAAGAGAACACAAACTACTCTCTGAAAGAGGGATATTTTAAACAAATAGAGGGAGAATGGGCTCCAATTTATGTAATGGTACAATTTGCAATAAAGAAGTTTCTCCAACCTTCTGATCAGAATCTCATTAATTCCAAGGTCAGAATTCCATTTCACTTTGGGAGACAGACTCATTTAATTTTTCTCCACCCAGGCGTATTCCTGTGTGAGGGATCCATCTCCATGGGGGATGGCACCAGCGCACAATGCAGGCCGGGCAAACAGAAGAGTTATGGCTTTGACACTCGGAGGGGAATGGATATCCACACCTATGAGTTCTGACTGGACTAACAAGCTTCCTCCTGGCTCTGGGGGTCTGATACAGGTTTGGGCTGAAAAGATGGATGGAGACAAGCTGGATATGTTAGCAGAGAAGAAAGGAATCTCCATCTGCAGATGTTACTTTGTGGCACACTATTTTTGAAGAGGGTTTTGTTTTCGACTTGTATTTGCAGGAAAAAAAAAAAAGGGGGGGGGGGGGGGCAGAATTTGTCACACCCTCATCCAGGGCAGTTTTAGCCAGAGGTCAGATGACAGCTAGCCTTGGACACTTGCACATTGACAAATGAAAACTAAACTGAAATGAAATGAAACAGACCAGCACAAAGCCAGCCTATGTTCAGCAGGTACATCCAAAAAGCAGGATCATAACACACGCATCGGCCGCACGGAAAGGCAAAAGGTGGAAGAGGAACTAAAAGCACGGGCAGCGGAGCTGTCACACAGCAGCCTTCTCCCGTTAATGGGGAGGTCTCGGGCTTACAGAGGCTGACATAAAAGACACCCTTGCAAGATATTTCTAAACCAAAGAGCGATGGATTTACAAGGCAGGTTGATTTTTATGATGACTTTTATTGAAAAGGTACGCCGGGTTTAGGCAGATGCCTTTTAGCGCAGGAAAGTTAACACAGTGCCTAATTCAAGGAGACAGCCTGAGGAAGCAGTGCCGACAGGGGAGAGAACTGCAATGTCTCTATTACTCTCCTCGGCATCATAAAGAGAGGAGGGAGAAAAATGGTATTCGTGTTGGTAGTTACAGAGAGGACGGGAGCACAAGAAACAGAGAAGCGGGGGAAAGCAAACCTCAGATGTAGTTTTCTTAAGAAAACAAAATGAAGCAAAGCTTAGAACAAAGGCTTGGGTGGGAAAACACCCTCAGTTCATAAATTTTCACCAGACTTGAAGAGAACTGCTCTGTCTACCTACAGCCCCAAAGCTCTAAAACACAATTATTTCCTGATTATATTCTATTATATTCGATGAGAAGATTGCAGGGTTCAGCGGTCGGAGTCTACAAGTTCCAAATCAAGGTGGAGTTCCAACTATTAGTGAGGGTAGCCAGAGCCCCAAAAGGCACTTGGAGAACATGAGAAAGCTTGAGCAGAAATTAATAATAATTGTGAACATCAAATATGGAGCAGTCACATGGGTCAACCACGTCTAGTCCTAAAAGTGGGCCCCATAATAAGCATCCAGCAAACCTGTTAAATCCCAAGAGAAGTCAGCTTTCTAGCCTTGCGATTGCAAGGAAAACGCAGCTGTTTTATGGTGATTGACGACGCCTCTGTCCTGCTCTGAAAAAAATAGCCCGGTGTGGACAAGGGCTGAGAGTAGTGACAATAAAATCACATGGAGTCCACTGCATGTGATACAATGGAGAAGCTAAAATATAATACTGAGATCAGAGAAGCAAAATGAGGACAGCAAAGAGAAGAGGGATGGATGAGTTTCTTCAGCCCCCTCTCAAACTCCCCCCCCCCCCACTAATTCCCTTGGAACCTACACTTTCCAATGAAATAACATTCACTCTGGTACCCTACATGGCACCCCCACCCCCCTTCACTCCAGGTCCCCAGGGAACAAGCTAATCACGCCCTGGAGAGAAAGGTATTGCGGAGGTCAACTTGCCTGTGGCTACCTTCAGGCAAACATTTCCTCCAGAACTCTCAATGCTTACTGACAGAGACAAGCAAAGGTTAGTACTCCACAGCCGCGGAATGGGAAGGAGCTGGGCCTTCCCATGAGTAGGAACAGGAAGAAGGCCACGACCTGTTGAACGCTACTGTAAGGCAGGGCTCTCCGAGGGTAGGGAAGGCTCGCACAAAGTACTTACATCTGTCATTCCGGTCCTCTGGGCTAGATGAGGCCTCTCGGTCCGAGATGAGGCCGGAGACAGCAAAGATCTTCTTCCCAGTGTCATCGACCTTGAGGGAACCAGGGGAACTAGATGGCAGCTGGGTCCCAAAGTCATATTCCTTGCCATCTGCATCTGAGAAGCGCAAGTGGGGAGACTCTGTGTCATGGCAGTTCTTCAGTCTCTTGGCTGGCGTGAAGGCTGACTGGTAGCTCTCCCTGTCCTCAGTGGAAGCAAAGGGGCGGAAGGCCCCCACACCGCTGTGGTTCAGCATGCTGATTGGAGTGCAATCTAGATTTGGGGGAGCGAACTGGGGGTGGAGGTGTAGTAGAGAAGGGGGGAAATCTCGGTTGGCAAAAGTGCCAGGCACCCCACCCTGCCGATGGTACATCGAGGCGAAGGTGTAGGAACCGTTGGTGAATGGAATATGCACGTCCTTGTCTACCGAGACCGGGACCCCGAAGGGCCGTGGCTGCTGACAAGGGATGGAGGCATCGCGGCTGGCCTCGGCCGTGGACGCCAGGACCATCAGCGCCGGCGAGGCCAGCGGGTTGGGGAGGTAGGATGAGTTCTCCATCTTGAAGGCTGCCCGGTGTAAGTCCATCGGAGTTCCTTTCTGGGGCCCGCGTCACACGAGAAGCAGCCGGGAGGGAGGCCGAGGGCACCTTGGATCAGGGCAGGGAACGTTACTGGGGAATCATCCCCTTCTAAGACCTGCAGAAACAGCAAAGAGGAAAAAAAAGAGGGGGGAGAGAGGTTAGGGGGGAGGAAAACAGAGGAAACCCTAAGTGATTGCAACACCATCCCTCTGGCTTATAGATGCTCGGGCAAGAGACACCACGGGCTTTAGGAGCCGGTGGGCAGCAGCGTCAGACCATTTCCATTCAGGAAAATCAATAGACAACTTACTGTGATGTACGCGTAGCTGACTTTGGTCCCTACACGTTCCGGGTGAAATGCGCCTGAGCCCAGCAAAGGAAAAAAAAATCATAAAACCTCCACGTACGCTATTCCCTGAGCAAATGAGCTCTGGAAGACCAAGTCACCCAGTAGATTAGGTGGGGTCTATATTTTAAAGGGCTTCCACCTGCATACCCCGCTCATGGCAGGCCTGATGCTCAAACAGAGGCCAGGATCCACCTCTATGGCCCTCCCCGCCCCCCATGTATGAGTCCTCTCTTCATCTCCCCTAACAACGCCCTGATCATGAAAAACCCCTAAATCAAGCACATCCAGGCCATGAACATCTGTACATGTTCGGTGGTACAAATTGTACGTGTGGATAAATCACACGCGCTGGCACATGCATAAACACGTATCTTCATGTATCATCTAAGACTGTTTCTAGAAAGAAGTGCTGTGTGAACCAATAACAGCAACATTATTGTTGCTGCATGCCCCTCTCTCATCACACAGGCTTTCTCTCTTCTGAGAAGGAACAAGACCTTCATCAATAAAATGCCTGGCGTCTCTGACAATATTTAAAAACGTAATGGGTGCCTTTGGCATATGTTCTCTAGCAGCGTCTGTCTTCCAGGGGCAGCAAAGAACGGATCGGTAATTTTAGTTACTAATGCACTCACTCTTAAGTAGGTCTGTAAACTGCTTTGGATTCGCCATTAACATTTAAAGGAAAATGTTAACCAAATTTCCGACTTATTTTGCCCGGCTAGTTGGCCTGCTCAGAGTTGATGTCCAATGAAGGCCTCTGGGACAAATTGGAGTTCGAGGCGACTTCTTTCAATTTCTCTTTTAAATTTAGGTCGTGCATTTTCACAGCCACTGATTCCATTTCAAAATTTATCTTTAGTGGGAAGTGGGAGAAGGATTATATATCAAAAGTCTGGGTGACACAGATGAAATAGTAGGACTTATTCAAATATATACACGAAATAGAAACTGAAGTAAAACTCAAAGTGCAACCAAAATAATCATCTGCTACAAGTTATAATCTTTCAGTTGAGTCATGCCTCAAATAAAATTTACCCCCTCCTTAAAAAAAAAACAAAACAAAAAAAAACTACCTAGATAATGGAGTATCTATCGTTGGTCCTCCCTCAAATAGAAAAACCTCAGTTAAACTGTAGATGAATCCTCCTGGCTTAATGCAGTGCAAAGAGAGTATTTCCTTCTCCCATCCTGTAGTAGACATGTCAATGGCTGTTATTAATTGGGAAGATGAGTGCACACCATCAGACTGCTTCCTCATTTGGCATCTTTCCTTATAGACATCATTGCTAAATTACCAGATTATGTATCTCACATTAACGGATTTTTCTCTCTTCCAAATTTTAAATAACTTTCCTGTCAAGTTATAGCAGTGCAGGGAATGGTCTGCCAAGGACAGCCAGTTAGCCTGACAAGTCTGGGAATCCTGCTCTTGGCTGTTCAAGGCCGACTAATAGCCATGCAACATGGATGCTCTGAAAGTGGGTCTAGGGCTGTTCCAAGGGTTCTAACCAGCTTTTCATAACAGATAGAACTACTTGTCCATCAACGAGCAATATGATATGAGTTAAGCTGGAGAAAAGGGCAAACTTAATACACTGGGGGTAAGCGGGTGAATGTTTCTCCCCCAAAATAGCCAATCACCCAGAGGATTTGCTTTCTATTTTTACTTCCTGGATCACCTCATTACGTTAAATGAGTTTCATAAATTAGTAATCTGGCGACAGCACCGGACACTCCAACAGAACACGGTGAATCACTCAAACCTGGTTATTCATTTAAAACTTCATTATGCTGAAAATAAATCAACGATATTTGTTCAGGCCACATCTCCCTTACGCCACTGCGTGGGTGCTGGTCTCTGTGGGGGGAGGGAGAGTGTTTTCCTTCTCCTTTTTCTTTCTTACCCCCTGCTCACATTAGCAACTTGTACAGAGGAGGCTTCAGCAGACCACAGTCATTATGAAAATCTATAGTTAATACACTCCCAATGTCAAAATGTCATGGGTTTAAACACAGAACCCAAAATAAGAAAACTAACTGACCCTCTTAATTAAAAAAATATGGATTGTAAGATAATCAGCTTGATGGAGCATTTGGGTGACTGTAAAGAACCGGGCAAAGGGAAAGTAAGTAACTGTTACTTTTCTGCCTCTATGCTGATTTTTTTTAATTTAGCACTTCGTGCAAATCCAGATTAAAATAACTCCAGCTATTGATCCGAGCAGTGGAATTGACATTAATTTTAGTTCACTTCTCACTCTGCAAAGGGATCAATAGGAAGTAATAACAGCTGACATCCCTGCTGAAAGGAGGAGAAAGAAGGGCTGAAGACAGAAATCGAAAAGCAACCAAATAAATCATCAGCTACTTTTCCACGGCATCAGACAAACTCCAAACAGATTGCAAAAAGTCTTTGTTGAATTAACTAAACAAGGAGGGGGGATCAATCCACGAAGCTAAATGAATTGTCTGGCAGGCAGCGAGGATGGACCGAGGGACCAACAAATATCGAGTTTTAAAAATTTCAAATCCTTGACGTGATGGGTTTGATTCCGGTCTGTGCGAGTGTGGGGAGTTCGTTTGTTTGTTAAATCACACACCCGACCCTGGTTTAACGTGATTACAAAACGCCAACTAACTGAATAATTAGTGAGGTCACTAATTGCGTGGTTCCACATGCCAGAACCAAGACAAACGAAACCGGGAAGCTGGCGTTCAGAACGTGAAAATGTCTGTGTCTGGGCTGATGCGCAGGGCTCCCCGCTCTCCTGAGCCAGCTAGTCATTTTTGCACAGAAAAACCGAAAGCCAGAGGCAACGTCTCAGAGTGGGCAGTTTCCCGTCCCAGCCTCTGACCATCCCTGTCCAGGACCTGGGCTTCTTGACCGGAGCTGGTTATGGGTGTAGAAGGAAGCTGCCGCTGCTGCTGTGCTGCTGGGAGGAAACCCACTTGCAAATGACTGCCACAAAGAAAGCTGCAAAGCCGCTCCGGGAGCCCGAGCTCTGAATGCCCACCAAACTACCATTCTGCTGGCAATTACAATGCACACACAACACTCCTCTGCTTACTACAACAGGTGACATTTCTGTGGTCTCTGAACCGGTTCCAAAAGCCAGGGAGGAAAATAATAGAACAAATTAAACGGTATTTTTTCCTTGGCATAAATAAACTTTTAAAAAATTAACAGGCAACTTAAAAAGCAAAGAACAATGGGAAATGGGGACAGGGGAGTGGGAAGAACTCAGAAAAGGATTTTTTTTTAAGTTCACAAACTGCTTCCCTTAGAAGAGAATTCCCACACACCAAATGCCCACGGGGTATCTGGAAACACACTCTAGCAGAAATTTTACCACTACATGCAAGGAAGCACAAGGCTAGCACGGTCGCAGAGCTGGGGCCAAAGCCTGCGAATCAGACGTGGCCAGGTGTGGGCCCCAGATTTGGACCCCGACCCAGATCTGACTTGGCTAACGGGTGCGACTCCGAGACAGCCCAGCCTGTCTGCCTGTCTAGAGCGCAGGGCTGCGGGCTCAGCGAGCTGTGCACAATTTAGCCAGTGAGAGTCTGAGCCGGGAAAAAGCAACTCATTTAGGAAAAAAACGGAGGAAGAAGAGGGGAAGGCGAAACCTGCATCAACTTCAGGCCAACGCAGAGCCGAGGCCGCCCCTCCTTGGCCAGACCTCTCCTACCGGCTCTCGGTTGCCTTTCTTTTGCACAAAGAATACTTTGGGTCCCAACCAGCTCCTCCCGAGAAACAATCTGCGGGTAACTTAGGGGATGAGGGCGCCGGCCGGCGAAGAACGGATAGGTGCGAGGGGCCCGGGTCCGCAGCCAGACAGGGCTCCGGGGCAGCGGCTCGTAGGATGAAGCTGCCTGCGATCCGAGTCCCAGCACCTTGTGCCCCGGACCAGCCCCTCCCCGCGGGTCACCGGGCCCCGTCGCGGCGCGACTCTGCTCCGCCGGGCAGCCGCGGGGCTCCCGGAATCGGGTCTCCGGAAAAGCGGGCCGGCGCGGGGCAGCCGGGCCCGGAATGCGGGAGGGAGGGCTCTGCCTCCCTCTAAACAGGTGTGATCCCCGCTCGCCCTGCGCCGGCCGCGGCCCCGTCGGTCACTGGAGGCGGCGCCGCCCTGCCCTCGGCCTTCCCCGCCTCGCCCCGGAGCGCAGCCGGCCAACTCGGCCACTTGTGCAGGGTTCCCGCGGGCCGGGAGGGAAGGGAAGGGAACGGAAGACGGCCGCTTCGCTTTTCCTCGACGCTCTTTCTCCCTTCCCCCCGCCTCGGCTCCTTTTCCATTCTCAGGAAGAACCCCCGAGGCCGGCGGAGGGAGGCCGGACACCTCGGGCCCGCCCGCTCCCTCCATTCCGACCTGCCGCTTCCTCCCCGCCCGTCCTGTTTTCCGTTATGTTCCCTCCTTACTCCTCTGCCCTCTCCAGCCAAGTCCGGGACCGAGGCGAGAGGCGAGGTGTGGCCGGTGGGCATCGAGGGCAGAGAGCGCCCGAGTGTCCCCTCTCCGCGGCTGCCGGGGCAGGGAGGCGCCCCGGGCCGGAGACCCGCCGCCAGCGCCCCCGCCCCAAGCCTCCTCCGGCTCGACGCGCGTCCGGCTCAGGGCCTGGGCCCTGGGGCTCCCCTGGAGCCGCGATCGGCGCGGCCGGGGCCCGAGAAAGCCCCGCGTTCTCCACGGGAAGCGGGGGCTCTTTCTCTGCCTCCCGGCAGCCCGAGGCCCCACAACTTCGGGGCTCCTGCGCGCCGGGGTCCACTCGGCCGGGGTCCACGCGGGCCTCGAGCTCAGGGAGCGGAGGGCAGAGCGGGCTTCCCCTCGGACGGCCCGCCGGCCTCCCGCCGTGGGCGGCCTCGCCCGGGGGGCCCCACGGAAGCTCTCCGCCCAAGTCGGTGTGCCCTGGAAGAAAAGGCTTTGCCTTACAATGCACAAAGGCGAGCCGCTCGGGCCGAGCCCTGAAAAGCCCGGGCTGAGGAGGGGGGCGGCCGGAGGCTGGGGAGCGCGGCGGCGGGGCGGCTGCGGGCGGAGAAGGTCGCTCGGCCGGCCGGGCTGACGGGCGAGCGGGGCGCGAGGGCTGCGGTGCCGCAGCAGCGACCAACGTGTTCGCTGAAAAGTTTTGTTCTCAAGTCGGAGGAAGAGAAATTGTGACTCAGTTGAAGGCAGGTAAATCTAGGCTAAAAAAAAATAAAACTACAAAAAAGAGCCACAGGCCGCTGTCTAGGTGAGGGTCCTCCCACCCCGCTCCGCAGAATGGCTAGTCCCGGCCCCGAAAATCCCGGGAGACCCGCTCCGGGCCGGGCTGCTCGCATGCCGGGCGGGTCCAGCCGGGCGGAGCGGGGAGCGTGCCGGTGGCATCGGAAGGGGCCACCTCGGTGCCAGCACCTGCCTCCTCCCAGCTCGCGGCGGCTCCCCATCCCTTCTCCTCCCTCCATGCCCCCGCTGGGAAAGTGAGCCCCGCACCCGAGGCCCGAGGCGCCCCGTTTCTCCTCGGGTACCCCACCGGGCCAGCAGTGCGTGGTGTGGGCGAGCGGTCGGGGTCCTTTCTCATCCGGATCGCCCCTTCCCCATCCCGCGGCTTCAGGCTCCCCACCGAGTACCACCCGGCCCCGGCCGCGCCGGAAACCGCCGCGGGGTAGCCCGGAGAGCCTGGGGAGACGGACCCAAACAAAGTGGGGATGGGGCTTATTAAAAGATGGAGAGAGGAAAAAAAAAAAAAAAGTCCTGCTCCCCTCCCTGTCCCCGCACCCTCCCTACTTGTCCGATTCCCGCGTCTGGTCCCTCCCCTCGCGCCCCCCAAATAAAACACATTAAGGAAAAACTCAAGACGGAAAGTTTGAGCGAGGCAGCGCACAGGGCGCGCAGGGCACGGATGCTGGGAGGCTCCGTGGCGGAGATCTAAGACGCACCCGTCCAGGTCCCAGCCCCTGCCCCTGTCCGGGGAGCCGCCCGAATCCCCAGCAAACGGACCCGGAAAGTTAGCCAGGTTCCTGAGCAGCCCGGCGGCCCTCGCGCCCACCCCTCTGGGGTGTGCACACACACCCACACACCCCTTTCTGTGTCTCCATACTTGCCGTGTAAATGCCTTGGGAGAATGGTCGCACTTTTCAGGACACGGAGGGAAGGAGGCGGCGAGGGTGGTGCATGAAAAGTCCCGGGTGCGCAGGGCCGGCGGCGGCGGCGGCGGCGGCGGCGGCGGCAGCGGCAGCAGCAGCAGGCGGCTGGCCCCGGGTCTGTGTGCGCGAGCTGCCTGGGATTGCATGTACAGATTAAGAGACTCGGTTGGTGTGAGAGAAGGAGCAGTGCTGCCTCTCAGCGCTGGCTCTAATCAGTGAATGAGCCTCCACTCTCCCAGGGACTCGGAGACACACACACACACTCACGGGCGCACGCACACATTCTCTCACACTCACACACATACAGGCACTCTGAGCACTGAATACATTAGGGCACTAAGGGACTCTGGGAAATGGAGTCCAGACCCAGGGCACTCCTGGAGAACAAACCTGCTGGCCCTCACCAGAGAGGTCCAAAGTCTTGGAGGGGAGAGATACTGTAAACTGAAGAGAGCTCTTGCTTTTGTTCAAAGTCCCTACTCTCCCCCGAGATCCCCACCCCAAATAAAGATCTACAGTAAATGAATGGTATTTTGACCTTCTTGCTTTCTTGATCCAAATGTGACCAAGAGTAGATGGGTTAATCTTTTAAGACTGACACCCACTGCAGCTAAATGACCCTCAAATCCTGGCTCCCTCATAAACTATGCCTCCCCCCCAGAAAAATCTTACTTCCTGATTGGCTCCTGAATGCTTCTCTGGGTCTTTGCCTATAGTAATAAGGTAACAAGTGAATATAAATACAACTAATACTTTTAGAAGGGATAGAGAGGACCTAGTTGAGCACTCAGGTTTGAGCATTAACATTTTTATTGGTGTTTATATTTATAGTTCGTTCTTCTCAAATCATTTTATGTCACCGTTTAATTCACCACATACAGAAGACAAATAGGGGAAATGGATGGAGACCTAACATCCCCCCAGTGCCTCGTAGGAGCTGGGTTTCAGGACTAAATGCCCTTGCATAATCTCATTTAATCTTCAGATTAATTCTGGAGATAATATTATCACTATTTTATATATAGAAGAGGAAACTGAGGCTGAAAGAGTTTTGTAATTTGCCCACGGGAACCTGATTAAAAAGTCTAGAATAGCAGGTAGTTCTAGCTCTGAAAGCAAAGCCCAACCAAAATCTAATCCTGGTTTTAAAAAATCATTCCTTTCTTCTGTGGTTCAGTTTCTGTAATTACAGATTTCTCATCTAGAAAAAAACACGGGTGGGGAGTGGGGAGGGTAGTATATACTGATAATCTACCCTGAAAAGAACCGCATGGGCTTGTAAATTGTCTGAAAACACAGAGCCCTAGAACTCTCATCTTTGCTATTATTTCATGGTCCTCTTTTCTTATGTTTAACATTAGGTAGCATCTAATTATTATGTATGCTTATGTTTACATGTGTTGTTTGTATTTTAAATTTTTAGTTACCAACTCTTATAAGTAAATGGTTAATTTGACCAACCTAGAGGTTTTTGTCATTTCTGTCTCTGTAATTCATTGGATCAGGGTTGTTTGTTCAGAAACCTCTAAGTCTTTAATCATGTTTAGTCACTCATTCATACAGTAGCTTTTCTTGGTTGAAGCACTACTCTTCTCACTAGATTATTCTTTCCTGCTGGACTGTAAACTTCATGAGGGCAAGAACCATGTTTGCTTTATTCATCATTATACCTCAACATCTAACAGTGTCGATCTTAGTTGTATAAATAAATGAGGATATAAAAGTAAAATGAACAAACCAACTGGCATGGCTCAGTGATTGAGCGTCAACCTGTAAACCAGAAGGTCACAGTTTAATTCTCTGTCAGGGCACATGCCTGGGCTTCAGGCTCTATCCCTAATGGGGGGCAAGCAGGAGGTGGCCAATCAATGATTCTCTCTCTTGATGCTTCTATCTCTCTCTCTCTCTCTCTCTGCCTCTCCCTTCCTCTCTGAAATAATTTTTAAAAGTATATTTTTAAAAAGTAAAATGAACAAATAAAATTTCTGCCCCAAAGAGCTCACCATCTAGTAGAAAAGACTAGAGTTAGAAAACAACGCGATGACTGCTATAATTTAGCGTGACCATGTTGTTCATTGGTCTGAGACAAGCTTGACAGTGAGAAGAAGCACTATTAATAATTACACTGGAGTGGCAGGTGTGAAGAAGGAACATCCTGGGCAAAGAAGGTTGACTAGTCACTCTAGCTACATAATGTGTTTCATTCATTCATTTAACAAGAATTTATTGACAACTCTCTTGTGTGGTGTGTGAGAGGAACTAATAAGCCACTTGATTTCCCTAGAAACGAAAGTATGAGGCACTGAGTAGCAAGACATAGTTAGAAGTGGGGCAAATCACAAAAGGCTCTATACTAAACTAAGGAAAGTGGACTTCAGCCTATAGATGATGAGAAATCCGTTGAGGGTTTCTCAGGGGTATGACTTGGTAGGATTTCTGTTTTAAAAATAGTACTAGTTACTGGGTAAGCAAGGTGGAGTTTAGGCAGGAGGCAGGGAGAATGGTTAAGAAGTCTAGTATATGTAATTCAGTTGAGATATAGTAGAGCCTAATCCAAGGTACTGGGGCAGTGGGCATGAAAAAGAGGGAACACATTATAGTGAGATCTAAAATGTGGAATCAACAGGAATTAGCTCCTTATTATGGCAGATGAAGGCAGAAGGGAGACTCTATGCAAATCCTAAATAGGATTTTATTATTTATAGGGACAGGATGCTGTCAGTTCTTTAATGTACATTCATAGTAAAAGGCTTCCTCAGACCAGCTTATAGAGTTCCCATAAATCCAGTGGACACCTCATAAGTAGACGATATAGTTAGAAGCCCTATGTCAATCATCAAGCCAAATATTTTTAACTGTTACTATATGCAACAGTCTGCATCATGATACAAGCACTTAGGAATTAGAAAAAATAACCACTGTCTATAAAAATAATCTAAATGAAAAATTAAGTGCAACCCCCCACAAAACCATAGCAAAAATTATATAATGTAAATTGAATATGTAATACCTCACTAATTCATAGGTCATGTGTCCAGCAACTATCTCAGCTATCCAAAACACAGTGAACCAGGAAATAAGCAAAAAGAGTCCCAGAATAGCCAAAATAAACATTACAAAGTCCATGAACTAAAGTTAACACATTTTACTCCTAAGAGAATTCTTCAAACCTTCACTCAGAGCCGATTTACTCTTTCTTAGGTACAATTCTAATAAGCTTGATTATTTGGCTTTCCCATTCACAGCTGATTAAGATTGTCAAATTAAAAGGGGGCAGCCATTAAAAAGAATGACATAGACTTGGATGTACTTACATGCAAGGATACCTATAGTATATTGTCGAGTGGGAAGAAAGCAAGTCATATAATAGTATGCATAGCATGATTTGATATTAGTATACCCACAAGTAGACACACACATTGACAGAAAATGACCTGAAGGAATATACACTAAACTGATAACAATGGCTATGCCTAAAGAGTGAGGGTGTGGATGTGGGTGAGTGTTGGGGTAGGAAGCCAGGAATGAAGGGAGGACTTTGATTTTTCACTTCAAATGCTTCTGTTTGTGTTTCAATGAACATATATTAGTTTTGTGATTTTTATATCCATTGAAAAGCATATAAAAGGAACAAAGGACAGTGTCTTAGAGCGAACACGTAGACAGCAAGAAGTGGTGATCAAAATACAATAAATGAGCACAAGAACTCAAAACCAGGTCATAGAGTTACTTTGTGTGGAGTTGAAAAGCCCGATTTCATCAGTGGTGACAGAGGGTGTCACAAATTTCTAACCTGATGCTTTCAGGAATAAGTTATCAAGTAACACATTATGTTTAGTATAGTTTATGTATGAGAGCAGGCAAGTGTGTATAAACATGAAAAAATAGATTCCCACCAAAAGCAGATTTTGATACTTTAGGGAAGTAAACTTCAGTTGTCTGGAAAATATGCTTTTGTGGAACACATCATTCTCTGAAGATGCGAAGTAAAGGAGATAGTCCTGCAGAGGAAGGAATGGCCCATAAATCCAACATTCAACAAACATCTATTGAGTGTCTATCAAGTGCTAGCCACTAAGGACACAGAGATGATTTTAAAAATAGTCCCTGCCCTAAAGAAGCTTCCAGTCCAGCAGCAGAGACAGGCACGGAAACAGCGAGCAGTGCTGCAGTGGAAATTCTGAGTAAATGGTGGTGGAAACACAAGATGGGGAGGTGCCCTCAAAGCTATTGGGAAAGGAGGCAGAAACACGAGTGGTGTTCACAAATTAACTGTTATTGGAAGACATTTAAACTGTGCAAAAATGACTATTATGGGCTGACACTTAGGTTGGGCTTTGAAGAGTTTACCTCGGTAGGAAGGTGGGAAGAGCAGTCCAGGATGAGGAAAAGCCACATGCTAAGGCACAGAGACAACAGCGTTCTTGGCACATTCAGATGGCACATTTCAAGCTTTTCCACAAGAAAGAGGTGGTGGCAGATGATGCTAAGGGTGAGCCTGAAATGACTCGCCACTAGCTTGGAATTTATCCACTTTTATCTTGGAAAAATCAATGGAAATTTTGCCTTCAACTCCATAAAAATCAATATATTATACTTCAATATAAAATGATCTTTTGAATTATTTTTCATCTGGTAAAACTGGTGCTCCAGAAAGAAGTGTCACATTTATCCAGTACTTTCTCATATCCCATGTATAAAGTTAAAAAAAAAAATCCAGGGGTTCTTGTTTCTAATTTGAAAAACAAAGGTATAGGAGATACAAGGGTGCACTGGAAAAGCAGACCAAGGGGCTGTGAAGGGTGTTGTTTGTTACAGTAAAAAAATTAGAAATTCCATTGTCTAGCTAACTCCTATTCATACTATAAGATGCTTCCAGAAAGCTGTGCTGCCCACCTGTCTCCTCATCTCCTCTTCTCCTCAACTCTTCTTATCGTAGCATCCTATGCATTTATTATCCACATTATGATAGATTTACTGCATTAAGCTTTCTGGCTCTTCCAATAGACTTTGACCTAGCACAAAAGACACTGGTATCTGTTGGACTTAATTGATTTAAACTTAAGGATAAGACTCAAGAAGGATTACCAGACTTCCCAAGACAGGACAAGGTACTCCTGTGTATACTCCTACAGAATCATGAGCTTACCTGTCAAAGCTAGTATTAAACTACACTGAAACAGTCTGCTTACTTGTCTGTCTGTGGGTCTTCGGGGTGTAGACTTTAGGTTTCTTTTTTTCTAATTAGCAATCATTGCGCTTTGGATGAACCTCGTTGGCTAGGATACTGCCACTGCGCAAAGCTGGATTCTA